GCGCCAGGTGCTGTTCTGCATGAACTGGCGGCCTGTGCCTGCGAGAGGTCAGAGCTCCCTCGCGTGCGGCGTCTACAGAGCTGTAGCTGTTTCTTCACCCCCAATGACCACCTCTGCTCTAGTTCTGTCTTACACTGTATCAATCTCTGTTCCATCTTCATTATCTTTGTTTCTGCTGATACCTGGGTGTCACGTGCTCTGGTTTTCTAACTTCTTAAGATGGAAACGGATGTGAAGGTCCTTTTCATACGGGCAGCCGGTGCTCAAAATGGCCAGTACTGTCTCAGCTGCACCCTCCAGGTTCTGTCCACCGCGCAACTTACCCTTTGCTTGCTTCGCTAACCCAACGGCTCCTGAGATTCCAAATACTCAAAGAGATTTTTCCAAAGAGGGTTCTGCTACTCATCTCCAGCGTAATTCCACACCTCTGATTTATTTCCACTGGCTCAGAGAACAGTCTGTGTGCAAGTGAAGCTTTCAGAATTACCGAGACTTGCTATGTGCTCCAAATGTGGCCTCTCCTGGGGAACAGTTCACTCAGGCACGAGAAGCCCTTCGTTTGGCGGCACGTCTGCACATCTCTGGGAGCCAAGCTGGTGGGTGGAGCCCAGGGGCTGCGCCCGCTGACTTCTGCCCGCCTCGCGCCCACAGGCGAACAGCCGGCCCCGGGCAGCACCGTCTTCGCGTGGCAGCGGCAGCCCGCGCCTCTGCTCTGCGCCCACCCCGCTTTGCTGCTGGGCCGTAGCGGAGCACTGGCTGCGCGGAGCACTGGGAGCCCGCGCCCTGCCTTTCCTTCGGCGACGCTGGCAGGGCTATCGCTCAGCGCCCTCCCTGGGAGCCCGCGTGTGTCTTCGTGTTTACGACGCTCTCCTACACGGATCTGTCCAAACCACCCTGAAGGGTCACCAGCAGCACCCCTGCGCCACCGACATGGCTGTAGCGCCCAACGGCCGCCAGCCTGCTGCTGGTCCTGTTGGCCCCCACTGCCTTTCCCGCGGTTCAGTTTCCTCTGCCGATGTACTTACTGTAGCTTTGCGTTCTTGTTCCGTGGCTGCGCTAGGGTTTCTAGTCCACATCTGAAAGCAATCCCATCTAGCTTCAACTAACGCGACAGCCCGCCTGTCCGTCAACAAGTGAATGAAGGGGGCCGACCCCGTTCCCAGCCAGCGCACGTCACTAACAGTCTGTCCCCACAGAGTGAAGGAGACTGTGGATGCAGTACAGAAGCACCTGAGACGCAGCTTACACGGAGCGCTAATGGGGCGAGCCACCCCACAGGGGTGCAGCGGACAGGGAGGAGCACGAGGACACGGGGGACCGCCAGAGGCGGGAGCACCGAGGACGATGGGACGGGTCCGCGGCACGCGTGCGGGCAGCCGCGCGGCGGAGCAGGACCATCCCCCCCCCGCCGAGCTGCTGACTGACAAGCAGCTGCCTCTCACCAGCCTGTGCCGCCCTCCGGACAGCGTCCTCACTGCGGACGTCACGGCGGAGCCTCCCCAGTCGGGACCAGGCGGCACAGTGCTGCTACGGGCATCATGTGGACACTCATGTGGACACTCGTTCTGGGCCTATGTGTTGGTCGGCTCTGGGCAGCTGGCAGAGCCACGTGACACAGGACTGGACCCTCGTAAATGCAGACAGACCAAGCTGACTGGGGCTCTGTCTTAGGGAAAGAGCAACACTGCACAGGAAGGCCACCACGAACAGACATGCCCCTGCTGGCTGGACTGCGAGGGGGCACGAAGCCAACGCGCAGATGTCAGTGGCATGGGGACCAGGGCCAGGCAGGGCCGGGTCCAATGGCCCAGCAGCTTGTGGTGAGATGGACACACCTGTCTGGGCAAGAGGACCGGGAAGACCCTGGGAGTCAGGCTGCAGGGGATGATACTTCCACTGGGAACTTTTTTGTCCTCTCGGAGTGGAGTGCCATGAGAAAACATTGCTTACCAAAGTCAATGGAATAAAAACTGAAGTCGAGATGCTATTCAAATACCTCCCTCTCACTAATGCAGACTGGTAACGAGCACCGAGGCAACAGAGACCCCGTCTCCAGTGAATCTGGTCACCTCTTATAATGAGTGATTTTTAAAATGAAACGGTGAACCTCTGGGCTGCTCCCGGGGTATCAATGGACAAGACTGTCCCCAGGGAGTGTGCCATGTCCGTGGACCACCTTCCTCTCCTCTGCAACTGTTCGGTCTCTTACCGCCACGCACCAGACTTGGCCACACGCAGAAACACGCCCCCATCGCCCGCACAGGGTTGCAGGCACAGGTGCCACGCAGCAAGGCCCTCCTGATGGTGCTGCCACGCACAGCCCGCTTGTCCTGGGCCCCGGCGGGGCCGCCGTGGCAATCAGCCCTCCTCACCTGGATCGTCTCTGCGACTCGGGTGTGAAGGCGATGTGCTTCTCCTCCCAAATGTCTTCCTCGTCAGAGCCGCCATCATCAAACTGCTGTATCCGTTCCTTACAGCATGCCTCAAACAAGGCGATATTTCCCTAGAGTAAAGAATCACAACACACTGAACAATCCAGTTATTTTTTCTGTAAGTTAGCAAACTGAAAACTGAAGCTTTTTCATTTCCTTTAGAGCAGACTGCCTGTCACAGACATCAAACCACAGTGTGACAGGCAGCTGCTGTCAGCTTCTGTTTAAGTAACAACAAAAATTCCCCTGCAAAAGACTAGACTCAAGGCCAGCGCGCCAAGGCCCTGGGACTGCCCCGGTGGGCTCAGACCACCCCCAACCCCCACCGCCTCCAATGCCAGGGAGTGCAGCACCTCTGTTCTAGAAGCCTCTGCCTCACGGCCCAGAGGGGATCCCCTGATACCACCCCAGTGTCCACGCTGCCCCGTCTGGAGCCAGGAATGCAAACCACAGAGCAGGGCAGGGTGGCCACGGTTGAGTGCCCCTCAGGACCTGACAGACAAGGCCCCCACCTCTCACCTTGGGCAGGACACGAAATACCGATACTCACACTATCATTCGTGTTGAGGGTAAAGTTGATGTCAGCTACCCGATCAAAAGAAACACTGCAAAGAAATGTAGGGACAGTCAGTTACTACACAGACTCACCGAGAGAATTCAGGCAATTTTCTACATTTAAAAGATTTACCATTAACATCTTCCTACGTGAAAACCAAGCCAGACCAAACACTCCCGCAGGGGCAGGACGTTATCTACAGAGAGTAGGAGAGCCAGGGGAGCGCTCGACACGACGAGCCTTCCCACGGAGGGTTTCTGACAGCTGAGTAACGACCGTGGCTCCCTGGGCTCACACCACCAAGAAGGTCATTCATTGGCGAAGACACGAGCCAATGCATGATGTGCACACAGCTGCCAGACCGCAGGCGCCTGCAGGGACAGCCGACCTCTACACAAAATGCCCCCTTCTCCCGCGGCACAGCCAGAGCCGAGCGGGAAGGGCAACAGCTCTCTCATGAAGCAAAAGCTTCTGGCAGACAAGATGACCTCATGAGCCAAATAGTCACTAGCCAGGGCCTGACCCGGCAGCAGTGAGGTCCAGCCGCCAGAACCCTGGTGCGGGGCTGTGGCCCTGGAGCGAGCGCACCACCTCAGGCGGAGTCCCGGCTACGAAGCCCCGGGTGCCAATCTTCGGCAGGTGGGACCTCCACGCCTTCCGGCAGCAGGGGTGCCTGTGCGCCACCAAGCCCACAGGGCACATGGGCTGGCACGGCCCATGGGAGCATCTCAGAGGCCAGCACGCGGCCTGGGGCAGGTAACAGCCTCCACACTGGAGCACCCACCCCACAGGGGCCCACCGCAGGGCCTGGGTCTGCACAGCACTCAGGGTGCCTTAGGGAGCAGCTGGCCAGTATTTAAAACCGTTCTCCAAGGCTCACCGGCCCCTCAAACACCGCCTGAAACACTTCTCCACTCCCACAGTTGGGGCAAGATTTACTCTCATCGGTGTGGCCACCACACGCTCTCTGACCCTGCTGGCAGGAGTGGCTGGCCTGCCGGCTCCGCCTCCCGGCGACTCACCTAGAGAACCGAATTCACACAGGGTGGGGCTGTTCATGCCTCAGCGACACCCCTCGGTGTGGTGCCAGAGCATGTGCTGCCTCAAGACAGGTAAGTACTGCAGAGGCTGCCAGCTGAGCAGCACAGGTGAGTGCCTGCGGACTTCAGCCTCCTAAAAGCGCCGGGAGTGGCGTTCCAGGCCCACCTGGGGCTTTGGGAGTGGGTGGGCTGGAGCTAGAGACCCCTGGAGAGCAGGCCCCTCCGCCCAGAGACAGGGAGGAGCCCTGAGAACCCAGGAGGCTCAGCAGACAGAGGGCAGAGGACACAGGCAGGGGAGAGGAAGATATACTCACTTGCCAATGTCATCTTGATCTGCAAACTTCTCATCGTTGAAGCCAAACTGGTCAATAAAATTGGACGTCATTTGTTGCATCTGATAATCAGAAAAGGCCTGGCAACCCCAGGACCAGTGACAGTGATATAATGATTCTAGTGACACGCTACAAACTATCTGCCCACTGTGTGTCAGAAACCGCCTAATTTAAAAAGCCATAGGGCTTTCAAAGCTGGTGTGCATTTCTAAAAAAATTAAGTAATTTCAGACACCATTTACCAAACGGGGGCGAGTCTGAAACCGCGGCCACGGCTGGCTCTGACGTATGTGCCCCTGCACCAGGTGCCGAGCGTGCACCGCGGGGAGCCTCGAGAGGTGGGTTTGGGGCGCGTCCAGCTCCGAGGGGTCAAGTGACACTGAGCCTGAAATTATCAGGTGTGCCAGACACTTCTGCACACAGCCACCCTGCTCCTCAGGGCCACCGGCGGCGGCCCCCCACCCCCCCGCGGCACCCGCCCGCCCCCAGCCCGCCACGGCCGGGCAGTCGCGACCGCAGGCCTATGCAAACCTATGGACACTCTTCTTTGTGAGAAGACGGACGCCCTAGAGGCTGGGGAGAAAATAAAAGCGACTTCTTTCCTACCTACCTTCGAGAGGACAGAAAGTTTTAACACTGATCCGAAACCACTCTGAAAAGCCTACGAGCCTGTAAGGTCCGTGGAGGGCCAGGTCTGTGTCCTACACCATTTCTAGGAGCACCAGGCTCACTGGGGTCGGCTTAGGTGAGAATGAAGGAATGTTATAATGGGCTCCACAGACACGCGGATATGCCAACTGCAAACCACACCCAGGCCCGCAGGAGCACGGGAAATCGCCCGAGTTTCTCACGGTGGCAGTCAGGAGTAAAGAACCTGGGGGTGAGCAGCGCCTCCTCACGCCCACCCGGGACTGGCAGGTGCGGGCGCTGCCTGGGCAGGGAGCTGAGGCCGGTGGACAGCTCCTCCTGCGGGCGTGGCCCAAAGTGGGCGCCGCAGAGGTCCCTGCGGGGAGGCAGCGGCTTCCTCCTAGTTCACATCTGGGCAGAGCCCAGGGCTGACCAGTGCCCTGAACGTCATCCTGGTCACTCCTTCTGGTGGCAGGGAATGATGGCATGGATAATCCAAATGGCAGATCAGTAAAAAATAAAGCTTATATTTGGCTTTGGAAGGCATCTTCTCCAGGTCTAAAAAGCTGTCATGGAGCTTCCTCTGAGCCCGCGACCCTGTCTCCTCTCACTCCACACGCCCGCCACCCTCTTCCTCTCTCCCTAAGGGCTGCCCTCACGCTGCTGCGGACCTCCCGCAGGGCACGCCGGCGAAGCGGGCACACACCGCAGAGGTGCGGAGGGAGGGACAGCAGGGCAGGGACGAGCTCTGGGAGGCCGGGCTGAGTTTCGGCCCAATGAGCAGGGCACTGGACGCAGGGCGTCCACACCGTCCAGTCGAGACGAGGCAGCCCATAGCTCCGCATGGCGGCGCTGGGCCGGGCACAGGAGTGCTGGGGCCCTAACTGGTGGGGCAGCCGCTGAGCCAGGCTTGCGCTCGCTGCAGTTAGCCACGTGAGGGGCAGTCCACCCGGTACCGCTAGAGACTATTTAATGACTCTCTGGGGGTAGAAAGAGAGAGTCCTTAGCTGCTGAGAGGCCGCGACACTGGCAGTACAGATGCGCCCTCGCCTGACTGGGCGTCTCTGGGCCGGGGCGCGCTCACCTCCCCTCGGAAATCTCTAGGCGTGGGCAGACTCAGAAAACCTCCAAGCAGTAATGGAGAGGAAGAAGAAAATCAATCACCCTCAGTGCTGACCTAGAATAACTTCTAGGAAAACCCACACTAGCCGCGCTGGCGGTCTCCAGTCCGGCCTGCGCCAGCCCGGCTGTCAGGCGCCCCAAGCGCCCAGCTGTCAAAGCGCCGGTGGCAGGCCGCGGCCGTGTCCTAGCTGAAGCCATGTGGGAAGTGCTCTTGGACTTCTGAGTCTTGAAAAGCGCCGTAAGTATATATATGCAATCATTAAAAACTTTAAAAATCTGAAACAGAAAACACCCTACATCCCAGAGCCGTCACCGGGCCCAAGCCCAGGTGCTGAAGCAGCACGAGCAGCGCCTGCACCTCACCAGCAGAAGTGCACAGGGCACGTGGGCACAGAAACTCCAGTCCCCTCGATCGAACTCGAGCGCCTGGCGCAAGTCTGTGCCACTGGTTTGGGGGGGGGGGGGTAGGTCAGATCGCTGCCCCGCAGCCCCACTCCCCAGACTCGGGGCAGGCTGGGCGGGAGGAAGCCAGAGGGGCAGGGGCACAGAGCAGCGAGGCACTCACGGCCCCTGGGCACACATGCGGCTGGCCACCGTGTTGAATGACCCGCCCTCAGCTTGTCAAGTGTTTATGAGAGCCTGAAGCTGACCCACACAAGCTAAGAACCTACTCAGAATGGAGACTAGAAGGAAATTCTCAAGTGAACCTGGACTTGTGTCGTCAAAACGAGGAAAGGAAAGTTTGAGAGCACTTTTTCTTATTTTCAAAATGATCCACCACTCGTTTGCAGTTTGAAAGTTTACTGGATGTGCACCCATCAGAAAGGGTAACCTTTGTGCCTACTCAGAGGGTGGCTGGCATTAGCAGATAGGCCTGGACCACGGGAGCCCGCAGAAGGCTGCCTGGAAGGCGCCTGCGACGGGGGACGCACATCAGTCGTCAGCAAACCATAGTGGGCAGAACTTGTCCAGCTCTCATGGGAAGTGAGGGGTCCACGTTGCAGGGACCCGCGCTGAGCTACTTCTCACTGGAATCAGCGCCGAAGCCCCGGGTTAACCAGCTCATTTACACGTAGAGGCTGTGGCACTTTCTCTTAAAAGTTATTTCAATAGGTACAAAATCACTTTGACGCTTCACATGTCCCACCATCACAAAGCATCACGGGTGATAAGCAGCACGCGACACTGGGCCCAGGCCGGGCCAGGGCCCGCGGGCCCCACGGGCTAGCGGAGGACGGGCCGCTGCTACAGCGCGTTAGGGGCCTAAGTGAGCACTGGGGGCGCGCAGGCGCCTCAGCGTTCTGGGCAGCCGCGCAAAGGCAGGCTTGCTGCTCAGCCGCACCCTGCGGCAGTATCAAGGGGCAACAGAGAGGCCGGCCCGGGCTGGAATGCTACTTGAGGCCTGCCTGGGAAATGCGAGTGTCCAGCTGCCTTTGCATCAAGCCCAGCGGCTGCTTGGTTCCACCTGTACCTGAAGAGACAATTGGAAGCCTCATCCTAGTCCCACAAAAGAGGAGGCTTCAAAGTGAGGAAAAAGGGCTGTCCACCTCCAGGGCTGGGGGAGAGACGACGTGAATTCCCCTGGTCACAGCATCGGCCGCGCCAAGGACTCGTGCTAGCTTTCAAGCAGCTTCTGTTTTTAGCTCCCAAACTTGATACCAGTGGAGAGAGCGCAGTCATCTGTCACTTCTCCAAGAACCACCAGTGATGATAAAGTCATGTGTGTATTTGTATATTCACACACACACACAAAACTGTATTTTTATAGCCCCAAAGATTACAAACATCTGATAATGGAGATAAATGTGGGGGGTGAGGGCAGAGGTGACAATGAATTCCTTCAACTAAAACTTAACCCAAGAATCCCAATGACAGAACTTACAGACATTGAAAACACGTAACCTTGTGGCTCAGTTCAGGGATATTTGTGAGAGTTTACTTTTACTGGCATTAAAAAAGAAGATGCCCACTGCTCCTGCCCCCCAGAGCTCTCCTAGGGTCTGTAAGCAATGGCTGCGCTTTGTCAAGCTCTGCGTGGGGCATGTCCCGGCTGCTGTAAGCCTGTCACCTCATTCAAACCTCCTCACAGTTTACCTGAGTCATGACTGTAAACAAGGGATGACACATTCATTAGCAATATAATCCATACGAACCTTCCTATACCTGACACTTCCTATTTGTGCCGCTTTACCTAACCAGTGAGCCCCCCAATCACATTCTAACACATATCTGATTCTGAAGTGAATTCATAAATGGCAACTGGACTAAGCATTTAAAATAAAAACAAAGAGCAAAGCTTTAGGCGTGACTCACTTGCTGCAAAGAAGAATCCTGTGAGAACCCCGTGTCTTTAAAGTCAATTTCATCATCACTGGATGAATGAATATGGCAGGTTGTAACCTATATGCATAAAAATGTAAAAAACTATTTAACATGAAGAGTCTTGGACATTTGTATCAGCATTTTTTATGGAAAAAATCACATTTAGTTTTTCACTCAAAAACCAGAGGCAGGTTCCACTGTAAGCCACTCTCCACCCGCAGCCCAGGGACGCCAGCACTCTGCCTGCCCGGGCACCTCTGCGGGCACGGCGCCCGTCGCCACGTCATCAGGCAGGCGCGGCCGCCCCACTTCAGTGACTTTCATAATTACATCCAGCAAAGTGTTTACAAGGGGGAGGTTGCAGTAACTGAGCAGATGAAATAGAAAAACCACTTTCACGTCCCAGGCCCAAAGAGTAAAGCTGTAATTCCCAGGGATTATGCCTGAGCCACTAGAAAGGTCAGGTTTAAAAATAACTACTTCACGTTCAAGTCTTGCATTTCCTGGCCACACCGAAGAAAGCACCATCCACTCAGTATGACCAGTCAGTCATCCCCTGCTTAAAAAAGAAGAAGAAGAAAAAAAAAGCCAAAATGTTGACCCTTAAAGTGTGCGTCCCTACCCCTGGGACTTACAACCCAAACTTAAAATAACTGAGCAAAACACAAACATCAAAAGCCAGCCTGTTTGTGCCAATTCACAGATGCCCTGCGATACCAGGGGCTGCACCACTAATCGGAAGTGCGTCAGAGGCTAAAGCACCGCGTGAACACATACAGGAAGTGTTACACGGGAACAGCCCCCGGTCCCGGAAGCAAGCACTGCTTCTCAGGGTGACTGCAGAGCCTTCTGACCCCACCTGCCCTCTTACAGAAGCGTCCAGGGAGGGAACAGGGTCACCTGGGGAGATGCGAGCAGGGCCGTGACCCCTGGAGCCTAACAGCCTGGAAGACAGAAACTGGCCCCAGCTTGGTGACCGTCCGACACTGGTTCAAGGAGCCCTAGGGGACACCAAGTAGGCCTGCAGGCGGCCTGGGCTCAGACGCTCTGAACAAACCAGCCTCTTCTCCCTTGGTCTTCTCCCTCCCTGGCGAGGGAGACGCTAAGCCCAAGGACTGAGCGCGTTCCCAGTGAAGTCTCTCCACCTGCCTGGATGGAGCACCCCCCACTGCGCAAGTCTAACAGGCTGGCGGGGGCAAAGGCAGGCTGCATGATGATGGGTGGAGGGAGGCAGCCGGGGTGGCCGAGCCTGAGTGGGCAGGGAGATGAGGACAGGAATGATCCGGGACAGCCTAGCAGAAGGCAGGCAGCGAGCTAAACTGCTTGGTCACGGCAGCTGGCGGCTTGCAGGGTGACTGCCCTGGGGCCAGGTCAGGCGATGCTAGGCCAGGGTGTTGTGGGCACTTCGGGGTGCTCGGCTGGCAGGCCAGCTGTGAACACCACACAAAAGGCAGGTGTACCTGGGGAGGGTGCTCCGTGGGGGTGCCCAGAAGGAAGACAAAGAGGAAGTCTGATGAACTCAGCGGCAAAGCAGAAGAGCAGCTGCCCAGCGCGCCGCCTCTGAGTCCGAGCAGCGCTTGGGCTCTCGGGTCTGGGTCTGGGTGGCTTGCTGACTCCAGAGGTGCGGCTCTGCCGGGCACGCCGATGCCACGCCTGGTGACTCCGTGACAGCCCTCAACTCCCATCCTTAGACCAATTCTGGGCAGAATTTATATTTTTCTTCAGAAACTACCCTCTTCAGGCAGTGATGAGGAATGCAAGCACGCCCGCTGTGGGGCTTGCGCCGAGGACGCGTCTGCTAAGTGCTAAGCACACTCACGTGGGAAGAAAAAGCGCTTCAGAGAGGACACTACCTTCTACATTCAAAAATTTTTAGTTGTTTTATTGTTGTTACAGGGAAATGTCTGTTCACCTGGGCTGACGAGGCTGTTACAAGGAAATGCCAAGCACGGCTGACTGTCCCCTCTGAGCCTGCAGACTGACTCAGACCCCAGCATCTACATGGCGCAGAGGACTAGACACAACCTGCAGAGGACCCAGCCTCGCCTGCTGGACCCTCAGGCCAGTCACCATGCACGCCCGTGCCGTGGTCTTCACACAGCCTCGCACACTGGCGCTGAGGCGCTTTTTAAAACACAGTCTCACCCTTGGGGAAGATGAAAGACAATAAAATAAACTCAATTTTCTGCAGTCACTACTAAAACATTTTCTACTGCCTCAGTCCTCGCCAGCTACATCTTCACCAATTTCCATGTGCCTGGGGTGGGAGGTACCTGGGCTGCCAGAGGGCTTTGGCTGTGATCACATGTGATTTTCTTTCTTTTCTTCACCATGAACGCCCACCATCAAGACACGGGCAGCACATGACGTGCACTCGGGCAGGATGGGACCAGAGAGCAGAGCCCTTCAGATAGCTCGGAGCGGCTGTCAGACACATGGTGAGGGGGTCGGGCACAGCCGATCTCAGAGGACCGCGCCCTGCCGATAGCCCGGGTGCAGCACGCCTCGGTGCACTCACGGGCGGATCCTTGCTGCGGCCACAGAAGTACGAACCGGCTAGGTCAGGTAACGGGGCTCCCTTGAGCACGCGCCACTCAACCCCGCTGACTGGAGCTCTGGGGCACGCCCGGAATGAGCCCCAGAAGGCAGCCCATCCACCCCCGCGGCAGGGGCCCACCTCTCCACCTGAGGGGCGGGTGGCTGCCGCAGCCTATTTCTTAGCTGCTGAGCCCAAGGACAGAGGTGCCCCAGCAGAAGGGATGTGCTCTCACCTGAACGCCCCACTCCACTCCACAGGTGGACACTTCTTGTGTCTGGTTTTGGAAAGACCAGACCCCACGGCACTTACCATGTTTCCCCTGGAACATGGCACCCAAGCCCACTGGGTTAAGTCTGAAGCGTTCTAGGCAGAAAAACAAGGAGCCCGCAGACGCCAGCCGAAGTCTCGCTGGTGGCGAGTGCCCCCGGAACACCCGCTGCGCGAGACTCCTGGCAACCTAAGGCTAAATGGCTGTCAGTGGTGGCTACTTGGGAACCCGAAAGACTGAACAAAACCACAGAGTGGGACGCCCCAGGAGAGGCGCGGCAGAGGGGGACGCTGGCCCCTGGCCCCTGGCTAGGCGTCTGCCCTGCGGGCTGACTCCGCCCGCCGCAGGCCGCTGCGGGGCACACCACCAAGGCCACGGGCCCGCGCCTGCTCTCGGCGTAGGCGAGACCGTGCAGGCGCCTGAGCTGGAAGGGCCGCAGGCTGCCCGGTGCAGGAGCGCAGCTGCGGGCAAGCGCACACCCACCTCGCCGCCAGGCGGCTGGGCGCCAGCCCCTCCACAAGCGGAGACCCCACACCGGGTTGCTCGCCAGGGACACGGGCTTGGACTGCTGAAGGCAATGTTTTTGATAAAAAAAACTTAACTAGACATTTTTCAGTTCTACCTTTGAAGTCAATCAAAAGATATTTTTAAGACAAGTTTCCCAAACAAAATCAGAACATTCCCCCAAACCCCTTCACCGATAAGACAATAATCCCTTGAATGGTCATGTTCCCATGTTCTGAATAAGGACCCAAATCGGAGCCTCCGAAATGGGGGTGGGTTTAACAGCACGACTGCACGATCACACTCTGTAACAGAACCCTGATCATCACGCTGGAACTGAAGCGACTGGGGAGGGAACACAACGGGCCGCCCCAGCGGCGACTCGGTCCTTCCTCGGCGGCTTGGGGCTGCCAGGGGGTGCCGTGTGTCCAGTGGGTGATGACCTGAGACACTAAGGGCCATTAGACACCCAGTTTAAGTTTTATAGTTACCTCTTAACTTCCTAAGTCTTCCAAATCGTGACACCTGAGGAATTCTATCATTCTATCAAACCGTGGAATCCAGCAACCCCAAAATGATGCCCCAAAAACCATTACCCCGGTGAGCTGTCAAGACTCTGGGAAAAGATAACTGGCTGGTTAGCCAGTCTGCACAGCAGGCAGCCGCGGCCACGGATGGGACTCGGGGCGCGGGCCGAGGCCCTGCTGTGGCGGGGAGGCCGTGCCGCGCCACCCGGGCCGGAGGCCTGGCTGCGGATCAAGAATCCACAGCGGCAGCTCTGAACTTCAGACACAGAATCAAATGTCAGGCACATCTACCTCCACCAAGAGCAGAAGCCCTTCCATGCCCAGGCCGCAGGGGCAGTCGCCAGCCGGCCTGTGCTTCAAAGGAAACGCTTCTCATCTTCAAAAGCAAACGCAATACTTACCTTAGAGTAATACGTTAAAAAAAACAAAACAAAACAAGAGTACTTTCCAAAGTCCAATATAATAAAAAAAATTATTATCAATGCCATTATTCCCTGGCTAAAAGTACCATTCCGTTCAAGAGTTTTCAGCTGGGGTCTCAAAGTCATCCACAAAAACTCCCCGCAGTGAATGACACGAACGAGGGTGCACGCGGCTCGGGCCCGTCAGAAAACCCGAAGGCGCACTCAGGCTCCCTGAGCCCCAGGGGCTGAGCACGGGGAACAGGCTCGGGGCGCCAGGCAGGCCAGGGCGGGTCTGCGGCGATGCTCAGGGCACAGGGCTCTCCCTGTGGGGTCAGGAACTGTCCCCGCGCCCTCGGCTGTCCCAGGCAGCACGTGGAGTTGACCAGACAGCTCAGCGAGGCCGCTGCTCGCAGCGGCCTCATTCTGGTAAAGCAGGAACCTACGTGTGACCTGCGTACGGGGACAAGCTTTCCCGCCTTTCTGAGTAAATGGACAAAGGGTGAGAGCCCTGAAACCACAGAAACATAACCCCGTAAGACCTACTAGATCCACCGTGTTCCTCTTGTTGGTCTCTCCCAAGGAGCTGGTGCAGAACGTCTCCCACCGCTCCCTGACCTCGTCGGGAAGCTCTGCGGAGAGAAACGGCAGGCGCACTTCACCCCACTGCAGTGGACTCAGGCTCGGGGGCGGGGACAGGCGGGGCGCACACTCGCTGGGTCGGCAGCCGAGCACCTGGCTCGGAGAGGAATGGGTGACCCAGGCCTAGCTGGAGCCCCGAGCCCCGCAGGAACCCACTCCCACCCAGGCTGCACGGGAGGCCAAGAGCCCTAAGCTGCATTTCATGCTTTGAAAAGTCTGCTGCCAGAAATTTAACTTGGCAAATGTGCTTCCAACTCTTCTGAGACCAGCTGGGGGTGGGGGGAGCTGGCATCGCCGCCGCCGCAGTTACGTGAAGTGTAGGAAACGCTGCCCTATCAGCTCCCACACAGCCGAGACACGGACGGCCCCTGGCCCGCGCACGCCCGCGGGAGGAGCCTGGGTGGGCCACTGCGCCACAGCGCCAAGTGCTGTACCGAAGGCCGACGTGGGCACGCACAGCGGCAGTCAATTCGCAGCTCCTACAGACATTGTTCAGAACGTGTACATAGTTTTCAGGACGCCCATGCTGGCTATAATTCTGAAGGCCTCCGAGGTGAAGCCGTCCATGACAGCGCACACCAGGCAGGCCCAGTTCCTCCGGCACGGGACCCCACCCAACCGGTTTCTCGCGAGTTAGCCTGGATGGGTTAAATGTCAGCGCTGCCACAGAAAGACCCCTGGGCGCATACAGTGCCAGCCTGGGAGTGCCGTGGAGCGCGTGCTGACAGACGCTGGATGTCAGTCACAGGAACATCATCCGCAGGCACAAGGGGCCTTCCGAAGGAAGGACAGGGTGGGAGTGGCCACAGCCCCTGCGAACCTGCAGGCCGCCTTCCCACACATCAAGGCGCGCCCTGCGGGTCGGCGGGTCACTCGGGCACAGCCAACTCGGCCAAAGCGTCCTGAGGCCTGCAGGAAGGCGAGCGGACAGCAACAGAGAGCTTCACTCTCCCACCACTTTCCCAAGAAGCTCACTCAAGTCTCCAGATTGAGCTATGCAATATAAAGAAGCCCTGGCCCACCCCCACAGCGCGAACGTCCCCACGCCCGGGCCTGGCCACTCACCTCGGATGAGCTGCTGCACCAGCGCGCTGCTGGGGCCCTTGTCGGCGCTGTGCACGATGCAATTGGCGATCCGCGTCAGGTGTCCCATGTAGCCGTGCCGTCGCCCCCCCTCGGCCCTGGCGGAGGGGAAGGACACACACTCAGACTCCGGACAGGACAGCGCGGGGACAGCTTGGATTTACAGACTCATTCTGCAGACGCGGCCCTCTAGAGGAAGGCGGTAGGACACCCCTGGCCAAGAGCTGTAATGACCCCGCCCCACGGGGCCAGCGCTCTCCTGACCGCGACCTGCAGCAGCGTGCATTCTCTTCAGGAGAAAGCAAACAGATGGACAGCCACTGGTGTCTAGAATTTACTTCCCTTTATGACTTTTGTGAGACGATTTGTCAGACTTTAAACAGCTCGCAGGGACCTACGAGGAGAGTTCCAGGGTCCGCTTTTCTCAGTTCCCGCCATCAGCAGAGATGTGCCCAATGGCCTTTCTCTATCTGTGCGCCCAGTCACCCTGGTGGGAGGCGCTCCCCAGCCAGCCGCGCTCTACCCTCACATGGAGACACAGTGAGTCCCGGGACCGCCGCCAGACTACGGCTGAGGGCTGTGGCCTGAAATTCCATAAACAGAGGACATCTGACAGAGGACAGGTGGGAATGAACAGAGTTTTCTGTTTAAAGGGAGACTGGAGACACCAGCCCCTACCTGAAGGCCTGCCTGGGGAATTCAAGAGCAGCACAGTCTGCAGAGACCCAGGGCCTGCACCGCGTAGGGTCGGAAGCACAGGGAGGAGCTCCAGGAGCCTCTTTTGGTTTCAAGCTTAGGCCTGCAGCATCCTCTCAGCCTGACATCACCATGTCCCCTCAGGGCCATGTGAAAACAAAAACCCAGCTGCAGGGTTTCTGACCCAGGCCTTTTGATGTCCTCGAGGCTCTAGCACGAGGAAAGACACAACAGGAAAACTCATGCAGGTCCTCTGTCAGGGCAGGTACTAGCCAGGCCCAGCGGGGAGCTCTGGGGTGAGAGAGGGTGGCCAGGATGGGCGCAGAGAGGCTCGGTCAGACACAACCAGACCTGGGCCCAAACAGCACCCAACGGAGTGCATCTGAAGAACATGATCGAGGTTGACGAGAAGCTCCCTGGCGCACTCTCCATCGGGTCAGACCCAAGTCCTGACTGGGCAGCAGCAGTATTTTAAAACCAAACCTCAAACCGAAGCTGACACATCCTGAGGCCCTAGCTGCCCTGTGGCCCCAGTCTGAGTGAAGAGACAGACACGCAATGCCTGGGGAAGCTTGAACTGTCCAAGACACCGACAACTCTGGGTCCGGGTGGCAGTCATACAGCGGCACACAGGGTCAGAGGCCTAGAAGCAGGCCCACGTCGGCTGAATTTACTTCGGCAGGCTTATGCTCCAATAAACCCGCTTAAAAACACAAGCACGGGGCAGGCCTAGGAGGGCTTCCCGCACGCCACCTGCTTCAGGAGCCCAGGGCCTTAGGGGACAGTGCTATGGAAAACCCCTGCGGGCAGCGCAGCACCTCAGCCCAGAAGTGCTGAAAAGCCCCAGCACGCTCCCGTGGCCCCCCGTTCCGAGCAGGGGTGCCCAGGACCACACGCTAAATAAAACCATCACCACGACTTGGCTCCATAGTCCTTTATGCGACTCCATGCCCTTCTCAGGAAAAGTGCCATCCAAAGAGGGTGGGGAGCTTCCGGAGTCGCAGAGCCGGAATGAAGGCCCTGGCTCCCCCAGAAGTGGCAAGGTGGGAATCAAGCAAGAGTCATCAGAAAAGTGCTGCTGTCATTAAGTAATCTGCATAGGCCTAGCGGTCACATAACCTGTGCCATGTCATTCTCATCGTCGTTTGTCTGAGAACAAGGAGGGTATTTTCTTCAAATTTTAAATCAAACTGAATTCCCATCCAAAGACCATTTACTTACTGTTTCTTTTCATTCATCTCCCAGGCTTCAAGTATTCGTTCAATTAACTGGCATTTTTGAAAAAGCTGAATAGAAAGGAACATGCCAGTTAACAGTTATGTAAGATCGAAGTGCCCAAGTTTTAAAAATGAAACAGAGCTCGGGTCAAACAGAAGAGTAGTATATGGAGCCCAGCAAGCTAACTAGACCCGAGAATGGCCCGCAGGAAGCTAGGGACTCAAGCCAGGCTCCGCGTCTGTGGTCCCCTGTGGGGACGTGGCTCGGAGCAAGCCAGGTCAGTCAGCCACGAGAGCGGGACTCGCCAAAACTCAGAGGGAATGAAGACCACGATGCCGCGGCCAAGCTTTCTGCATACCTGTACTCTTCACATGCGAGCAGCATTTCCACCTAAGGGTGCTAGTGAAATTGTGTGACTGCCCCAAACAGGCGTGGCCTGGCAAGCCTCCAAAGGTCACTTCTCTGCCCCGGCTACTTGGTGACTCCTGGCTAGCCTTCCCGGTCTTCCTGGTCCCTGGGTGTGACCCAGGCTGAGCTAGAAAATTTCCCACAACCACAGAACTTCAGAGCAAGCAGTAGCACGACAAATCACCAAAATCACCTCAACTGTGACACACAGACAGACCCCAGAGACCCTCGCCGGCCCACAAAGCTCACGGCGGTGCCGACACCCAGCTGCAGCGCGCCGGGTCACTCCCAAGTGTTCTCTGCAGTGTGCAACGTTATGGCTCCTCTGACTGCCAAAGGTGTCTGAACTGTCAGTTCAGCTGATGCTGCACTGCAAGCCCACCTAATGAACACCTGCCGGGCTGATCTGCAGAATCGCCAGTGCAGTGAAAGCGTGGCGATGAACTGTCTGGACTGAGACTTAACGCGACAGCCTTCAGCCACCTGTGCTGCGCACTCCGCGTGCTGGGAGCCAGGAGGGCGGCAGAACACTTCAGCAAGGGCACTTACGTGTCTCAGCAGCAAGCTGTCCCCAGCGGACTCCTGGTCAGTAATGGCGCCGTTCTCTGTGCTTTCAAAAGGACTAGCCAGAATCAGTGCGACACAAATCTCCACTTGCGTGTGTAAAAAGTTATTCCATGTGTACTTGAAGAACATGTCCTGTAAAAGTGAAGAGTGAAGGTTTATTCAGCTACCTCAGAGTGAAGCCACCATTTTAATGCACTCGCAGAACAGCAATTTAAATGAACGGGAAATGATGTGCTCGTGTCCGAAAGCCTCCGGAAAAGGAGCGCAAGGTCATCTCGTGGGCCTGGAGACGCCCGTGTGCTCACTGAAGAAGCCAGAATTGCCCGGCACCCAACGGAGACCAACACCACATGCATGAAGATAATACATTTCTCAGAGAGGAAGGAAATTAACATATTTGTGTTTTCAAAGCCACGAATGCAGCAACCGCCTAATACCTTTCAAAGAAATTCCTGAGGCTTCACAGTGACACAAGAACTAGTCCCGCGAGTTTGTGCAGGCCACAGGGCGAGCACAGGGACAGACGAAGAGGCCTCCAGCTCCAGGCACTCGCGCCTTGACAAAGCACCACCACGCAGGCCTCTCCTCCTCCTCCAGCTACCAGCAGCTGGAGCCCAGGAAGAACATGGCCGGCGGTGACGCGTGTTTCTCCCAGGCACCCCAGCTCCAGCAAGGTAACCGTGCTACGGAAAGGAAAGCCACGTCCTGGCGGCAGAAGAGGCACCGCCCGGGTGTGTTTGGGACCGCTGCGGCCCGACAGCTAACCTCGCCGTGTAGAAGTGACGATAAACGACCCACCCAGGACCGGTTAGCACTTGCGAGCAGCTCCCAAGACTAACGACAGAACGAAGGCAGGGCGGCCCGGGGCGTGGGCCCGGGGCGTGGGCCTGCGGCGCCAGCCGCCCTGGCACTCGGCGTGCAGGCCGCAGGCAGCCGGAGGAGTCCTTTCCTGGCGCCGCCCAGCAACAGGGAGGCACACGTGTCCCAGAGGTGCCCACTACGCCACAATGCCCGGCTCTGCCCTAAATGATGGTCACTGAACCCAAGCTCAAGTACGAGGACGCTCTCTGGGCCCCAGGAGGCACACAGTATGGCTGCAAGAACACGCTTGGGGAGTCAAAGGGGATGTGGGGTGAACCCCGCTGGCTCTGCCACCTGGAAGTTTGTGCTTGTGGCATGATGTGAACAAGACGCTCGCCCCACAGGGCCTTGTTACATGGGCTCCCACAAGGGACGTCAGGTGCGCGTTGCAGGCCTCCGGGCGTGGACAACAACCAGACACTCTTTCCGAACCGCCCTGAAGTGCTGGGGGCAGGAGGCGCCAGGGGCCCCGTGGACCTGCTCTCGGGCCTCCCGTGCTCTGGGTAGCAGGGCAGAGCAGAGTCAGCACGGCAGCAGGACCTGGGGAGTCCCAGCACAAGCCTCGGGACTGGGGCCACAGTTAGGCCCCAGGCACACTCCCTTCCCCGGCCAGCACCTGTCCAGTCTCAGGTACGGCCTAGACAAGTTATCGGGTGGGAAGAAAATAGTCTGACCCCTTTGCTAGTTATGAAGAGAAACAATACCGCAAGCAGCAGTCACCGGCCAGCAACATGCCACCCCCGGGGCACCTGACACCGTGTGACTAGCTGAGCTTCCCGAGGGACGTGTCTCTGAACCCTGTGATGAAGTCCTTCACAGCCACCACCGAAAACTTCAGAGCACTCATGCTTGATGATCAACTCACAGTCACACGACCTGAGAGGCTGCTTATGCGCGGTCCAGGGAGCCCCCGCCCCTCCACAAACCCGTGAGAACCTGACTCAAGCCGCAGCCTCTATTCGGCACCGGCTTGGGGCGGTCTTACCAGTATGACCCCGATACTGTTGAGCTCCACGAGGTCCCCATTGATGCTGCTCGTGTTCGTCTGAAGGAGGCTGGATATCAACCTGATCACGTTCAAGCGGGTGTTTCCCACGGGAGGGTCCAGCACACCCCATGTAGTCTTCATCACGCTTTTCTGAGGAGGGAAACACGTCCCAGTTCAATACAGCCACACCAGCCAGACGGGGTGGGGGTGCCCGGGACGCCTCCGGCAGGCCGGCCCTGCCAGTGATCTTGGCCTGAGATGACGCCAGAGGAAAACCAGAACTGTGCGTCTCCCCTTGAGAAGGCACGAAAGGACCGGAGGGAAATCAACGCCATCCCCTGGACTGCGAGTCTGGTAAGAGGGCAAGGAGGCCCCTCCAGTACCCAAAGCAGCACAGGACAGCACACGGAACTGCAGAAGTCTGTAAGCAACACAACGCAGCACCCCAAACCTGACCAGAAGCCTAAGCGATGAAGAACAAGTACAAGGGGGTTGGGGAAGAGCCGGGCCCGCCAAGTCTTCCATAAAAACACAAACTCGGACGTTCCTCCACACATAAGCTGGAAACGAACCCATTCTTGTCCATAGAAGGGAGTCTTGACGTTCTAACCACAGAACACAGGCCTGACACAGACCACAGGAGCCCGGCGGGAAGGCGAGGTGCTGCGGCCCACCGGGCTGCTTTGCCAATGCCGCGTGAGCCCGCCGCGCTCCCGGCCTCTCAGCCTCCAAGCGCCTACTCTGCCCCCGGATAGCCCTCCCCGGCACACTCCCACCTGCCAGGGCCGCCGCCCGCCCGCAGCGAGAACGCCCAAAGCAGGCCCTACCCGGCTTCCGGTCCAGGCCAGAGAGGTCCCGAGTGGGAGCAAAGCAGAGGCTGCGTCCCGCAGAGACGCTGGCCCTGACAAAGGAGAGAGGCTTTCTGCCGCAGCCCGGCTCCCTCGGCTCCTTCCCCTCCCGCTCCGACGCGCTCGGTCCTCTCCTGAAGAAGCCCTTTCTTTTCCCTTCCTACTCTCCTCCCTAGGTGTGCGGTCAGGGAAACCAGCCACGTCACTGAAACACCAACAGAGGCCACTTGCCCGCGAGCGGGTGCCAGGCCTGGGCCGCACACCACCCAGGGCAGCGCAGCCGGGGCCACGGTTGCTCCCTCGAGGCACCAGTCGGCTGAAAAGACAAGGGAGGCTGCACGAGGCCCCTGGGAAACAGATACACCGTTACTGGCAAACTGCGAACAGGTAAAAGAGACAAAACATCCCGGAGCCCGGAGCCCAAGGTGCCAGTGCTGAGTGCGGCGCGCACAACTGGCACTGGGCAGCGCCCTCACGGGTCCCAGTCTCCCCTACCTTACAGGTCCCTAAAGGCAGAACCTCTCACCCTAGTTTCAGTCTGTCACACGCAAGCGGGCGGGAGGGGAGTAACAGAAAACACCCTCCCTCTCACGGGCCTTCGTGCTATCAGCGCTCAGTGGCCTGTGAGGAGACTCACTTTTAGGTTAGGGTGCTCCAGCAGAGAAAACAGATGCATAGTCTCGTCCACCAACTATTTCTCAGCCAAGGCAGCAGTTTGTCGAACCCTGCACCGCCCCGAAAAAGGAAGCAACTGCCAAGACCAGCTCCAGAAAGAGGATGGCCTGAGGACACAGGCGCCCATAAAAGGTACCGGACACTAAAAACTAAGGGAGGCTTCCCAGGTCCTGAGGACAGAGGCGGGAAGGGGCGGGGCGGGGCCCGAGGAACCAGAACACCGGAAGGAGGCTGCGTTTTCTCTACGCAACAAAATATTCTGCTTATTTTTAAGTGCTCAATAGACAAAGTCAATTAAAATCTCCAAAGCAGGTAGACGAGACTTCACCTACAGACAAAAGCCAACTCCAGGGGATCTCCAAGGCGGGCCAGACAGGGCAGGGGCATGTAGCGAGTCATGCACACGCTGGCCACAGCCACTTTACTCCGAGGCTCTCAGGACTGTTTATGAATCAAGTGACCGCAGGGCCAGCCAGGCCCAGGTCGCCGCCTACCTTGGGAGGCTCGAGGAGGAGCTCGTGGAAAGAGCCAAGTCTTCCCCGGATGGCTTCCAGCACGCTCCTGTTCACTGAGCAAGCCGGGTGACTCAGGCCCGGCGGGCAGCTCTCTATGTGGCCTTCAAATCTTAAAACAAAACAAGTTAGTTTCACTTAACAAGCCTCAAAGTAAAAGCATTCAAGGGGCCCCCATCAACCAGAGGGTACTTGTGAACACCGGACTCCAGCAACACTCCTGAAGGGGCAGGTGGGGGAGGGCGAAACCTCAGCAGGGTCCAAGGGCCGAAGCCCGGAGACCTCTAGTGACCGATGAAGCTGTGTGTGGGGCCTCCCGTCCTCCTTGCCCCCAAGTCCTATCCCTGCTCATCACCCCTGGTGGGCCTGGGGCTGGCCAGATGGGGGAGCACAGCGCTGATGGCGTGCAGCCACGCTGCAGCCTGCCGGGTGGTGTCCAGCCGACAGCAGGGTCGCCCATGCACCTGACTCGTGCTGCACGCCTGCCACCTGGGCGTCATGGGAGAACAAAGCACTGAATTACGATGCTCTGCACCTGTTCCCTGCAGTTCTGATCAGGCCACTGGTCACCCGCTAAGAGCCTCGAATACCTGCCAAGAGTGCAGTCTGCACTCACTAGTACCCCACAGTCGAGGCTCCTGCTCCAGCCGTGCTGATCCTAACAGGAAACGGGTTCTCAACGTGGGGGCAGGACGAGCTCTGGAGGGGAGCGTGCCAGGAGAGCAGTCTAAAGAGATGGCCGTGAAGCTCAAACGGAAGACCCACCTGAGAGCTCCACGCCAGCACAACCAGGGAGCGGCCCCGAGCCCGATGCTGCCAGCCGCTGGCTCTGACAAAGAGGCTGCCCCACCCCGCCACTGTGGGCACCCAGGGCCACCGTGGGGCTCACACGGCCACAGCGGGCAGGGGAGCATGCTGGTGACCAGCACGCTGCCACGTAGCCCTCCAAGGGCTCCCAAGTCTGGAACAGGGAGGGCTTCTGCTGACTGCCCGGTAGCCCTCAGCGTGCAGGGGCTAATGCTACTTAGCCACACAAACCCTCCTCACAGTTTCTGTCTTCTTTACAATCACTTAGTTCTGTGAGGCTAGTATTTCTACTAAAAAGTAATTCTTCTCACTAGTATTTTCAATTCAACTCATCAGGAATTCATTTCTGCATAGAACAAGAGGTACAGGCACTGGATTTTTTCTCACATGGTCAGTCAGTCACATTTATAAAACTACCTGCCTTTACCCAGTTACGTGAACACCACACACGACGGTCCCTTCGTCGCCCACACAAGCGCTGTCTGTTCATCCAGTGGATGCTTAGTGAGCAGCCCTGGCCTGGACGCTGCACTCAGCAGGCCACACGCTCGGGACGACATGCTCTCACATGGCCGTCTTCATTATAAAAATGCTGCTAAAGAGTTTTTAGCTGTTCTATTTTTATTCAGCCAAAGCCTCAACAAAAACCATGCTGATGTGCTGTGCAGAGCTGCGCTGAACTCAGAACTGAGATCCGGACAGACATAGGCGGCAGGACGGCTGCACGGCAGGAGCCCGCGTGCTGCTGAAGGGCTGGGCCGGCACGCTGACACGCGCGTCTGTATGAGGAAGTGACACGGAAGCGACTGCTGGGAATGACAAGAAGCGCGTTTCACCTGGTAGGAGCCGCGGATCACGGGACAGGGGCGGCGGGGCACCCCAGGGCAGCTCGCGAGCCCCGCGCCATGCCAGCTCCGCACAGGTGCTCCCGTCTGGCTGTCTGGGTCAGCCAGGTCATGGGGGGAGTGGGTGTCCCCAAAAGGCCTGTGCCTGTGAACTCCACATCATCTGAAGGTGGCAGGCGTGCGGATCCTGAGCAGGAGAGTGGGCTCGGCGTGGCTGCGCGGGCCCGTGTGGCGGCGCAGGGAGCGTGCTGTGCACAGGGAGCAGAGGCGCCAGCCACACGCCGGGCACGCCGACAGGCCCCGGGCGCTGGACAAGACATCTCTGGGGAGTGGACACTGCTGACACCTGACCTTGGACTTCCAGCATCAGCCTCCAACAAAGTAAAACTCTGCGGTTTTTTTGAATCTCTATTTTTTAATACAAAAAGCTTTTGGTAATTTCTAAAAGCAGCACAGAAAACAAACACAAGTTTTAAAAAATTTGCGTAGGGTCATCCCAGAGAGGTTTAACTTGGATTTCAGGAACGACAATTGGCAATGGCCAGTCTTCAGGTGTGTACTGGCTGCGTCTAGGCACTGGTGCTGACCGCGCGCATGTCCAGACACCCACTTTGCTCTCGAAATACATCTCTTGACCTCAGAAATGTAATTGTTTTTTTAAAATTTTTTTTTGCATAACTTTTATATATATATGCACGAAAGTCCTTTCTCAGGTTATTTAAAATAGCTTTTGGAGTTCTGCGATCTGCCTTTCATTTCCTTAACAGCCTTCTGAGGGCCGAACTGAAAAATAGCCTGAGCTGTCCACTTTTCTTTTGCAGCCTGGGTTGTAGTGATGCATCTCAGAAATGTCTGCCTAACTCAGCCTAGAGGTCTTTCCCCCTAGAGATCCTTAGCTTGAGGGTTCACACTGAACTCCAGGCGCTGCTTCAAGTGCCTTTTTTCCGCGATGAGCTCGGTGCGCCCTGGCTGGCCGGCCGCCGCCCTGCACGCAGGCTGAGGCCCAACACCGCACAGAGCTGCCCTTGCCCACGACTGGCCCCCACACCGCTGCCAAAGCTGGCTGACCCGAGTGGGGGTCGACCGCGGGGCTGAGCCAGCATGTGATCCGAGACGTCTGTCCTGACACCACACTGCAGCTTTAAGTCAGGAAATGTAAGTGCTCCCCTCTGGTCCCCTCAAAGGTATCCTGGCTGCTGCCCAGCTTTGACGTCGCCCTGCAGTTTCGCTCTGGCTTGCTGACCTCTGCCCCACACGAGCACAGCCTCTCCTCCATTAACAACCCCCAGAGCGGTGCATTTCTTAGTGTCTGGGCACTTACAATGAGCGCTGTAACCCGAGGCTCCAGTTTATGACAGTTCACTCTTGGGGCGGCTCTTTTGGGCTGGACAAACAGACTGACACATACGTGCGTGTATCTCACGTGGCGTGTATCTACGCACACAAATATATGACATCGCACACACGTATGATACGTGATACGAGTATGCGCCTCACGTGGTATCGTAAGGAGCATTTCAATGCCCTAAAACTCTTCTGTGCTTCACATTTCACCACCCCTCCTGCACCAGCCCCAGCAACTAGTCAGCTTTTTCACTCTTCAGTTTGCCTTTCCCAGGATGCCCCAGACCTGGAACAATACACTGTGCAGTCATGTCAGACTGGCGGCTCTCCCATAGCAACAGGCATTTAGGTTGTTCACGTCCCGCCACGGCCGGGCAGCGCAGGCCGTTCAGGGCTGAGCATGCCCACTGTCTGGGTCCGCCGGCTTTGTCAACTCCCCCCAAGGGCTGCGCAGCCACTCCCAGGGTCTTGGCAAGGACAGATGAAGCTGCTACAAACGACCACGTACGTATGTGTGGCTAGAATTTTCAGCCCTTCCGGGTAACAAGGAGCCCACTGCCAGCCACACTCAGGAGGAGCTACCCAAGGCCAAGCCACAGCCTTCCCCAGCCCCGACGGCCTGCAGCGAGCACTGTTACCACTCTGCGTCTGGGCCACTGCCATGACTGGTTTCTGAAGGACGCGTCAGTCTGCCGCTCCGAAGTGAACTCAACCTGACGTGACACGTTACCCTTTCAACATATTGTTGGAGTTAGTCACTAATATTTTCTAGAAGAATCTTGCATTGAAGCGTCTGTGGCGTCTCAGGAAGCAGTTTTCTTTCCCGGGATACTTTTGTCTAATTCCAGGTACTGCTGGCCTCCAAAAACTACCTTCCAGCTATCCTCTGACCGAGCTGCCCCATCTTCAGTAGATTTTACCAAGAAGCCATTCCAGGCTTAGTTACTCTTTTTTTTTTCTTTCCATACTGTACTCTCTGGAATAAGACACACTGCCCGGGCTACACTCAGAGAACAGGGAGTTCGGCCTGCCTGCCGTGAGGAGGTCACCAACGGCCTGGAATATCGCAAGGAGAGGCGCCTCCTCCCCCAGCTTCCTGCCTAGCCCCTTGTTTAGTAGCAGCACGGACCTGGGGCCGTTCGTATGCAGAGGTAAGTCACACTACTGCTCTATTTTACGGTGCGAGTTATTCTAGTTCTGGTCAACAGCACTTCTTGCAGTTGGCCCTGTGTCCCTCTGGAGCTGCACCTGATCAGAGCAGAGGACCTGCTGACAGCCTGCACTGCACTGAGCCCACTCACCCTCTGCTACTGGCCCATCACAGAACCAGGCGTTCCTCCACCGAGTCCTGGTTCCATGGATGGAGGCAGGCAGCAGAGGCCAAGAGCTGGGTACCAGCTGGACTCACTCCTAGGGCATGTCTTTAACTCTGGGCCTCACAGCTCCACACCGACCAGCTTTTGCGCTGACTCTTCATCTCTCAGCGTAATTCTGATGTCCTCTGCCGAGTCTTCCTGAACGACGTCGAAGTTACACAGGGGCCAGAAGCGAATCTCTGCTGTGTTCTCATTTCTGGCATTCCATACGATCTTCCATCTCACTGCTAACACACTCCACCTGTTCATATGCTGTCTGCTTTTCTCACAAGCCTTAATATACTAATCTGAGTTATTTTAAATTTCCTGTCACACAGTTTCGACACTTAAAATCCAGTCTGCGTGATTGCGTTTGCTCTCTGAGATTTGATTCGGGTTGTTCTTTTTCTCCTGTAAATTTTGGTTGAACACTGAACATCTTATACAGGGTAGCAGAAACCGATGCAGACAGTATTTGTGTCTGGGAAGGACGAGAAATCTTCCCCAGATCTTACTGTGGGGCTTAAAGCTATCCTGTCGGCAGCCGAGCTGGGTGCTGTGACTGCCTTCCGTGCGCGCAAGACCTCAAGGCCACGTCAAGTTTCTTCGTACCGTCACGCCTAGGGCTGTCTGCCCAGTTCCCCTCCGGTAGCTAGCCTCCCCTCCCGCTGCCTCCCGAGCCCGAGCCTCCTGCCTGGCACGGAGGCCTAGAGGCCGGCTGGGGAGGGTGGGGTGGGAAACGCGTGCACTGCGGTCCACCTGGGCACAGGGCATCCTGTGGTGGCTTATCAACCAACCACCTCACTCGGCTTTTAAAGAAACCTGACTGAAACAAGAGTGTTATGCAAGATAAAGGGAGCTTACGTGGGCCGCCGTGTCTCGAGCAATGTCAGCAGTATCTGGATGGCACTGACTATGGCCGACTCATTTCTTTCCTTATGGAAGATATTTGATAGCAGCTGCTCTATAATTTCTTGCCTAGGGAAAAAAATCAACAGTCAAATGCTGATTGTAAAAGTCATTTACCAGTGACAACTTCAGAGAGCGCGACACGACAAGCATTACACAAGCAGTCACTGTACGTGGACATGTTTGTGTTTTACTAACATCTATTAAAGTCAGCAAGTGATGCCGATCATAAACAGAACTCCCCCAAATATACGCTGGGCCCAGTCTGCCTCTGCCAATCTTACTGAGCCAGTCAATGCTGCCAGGCTAGATGTCACCTCACAGTGGCAGGAGTGGCAGGTGCAGGGGGCACGGTAAAAAGATTCAGAACCCTTTACCCCCACAACGGGAGGGGAACTGTTCAAAAAGGCTAACTAGGACCCATCCCCATTTTCCCACAAAGGCACTGATACATAATTAACGGATCTAAAACCCCTGAAAGAACACTGGTTGCATTTTACTCTACAACTAAATGATTAGAATCATAGCAGCGAGGCCCATTGCAGGGCACCTGACCCAGGCGGCCCCACCCAGCAAGTCACAGTGCCAATAAAATAGAGGGGTGGGCCTGTGCTTTGACGTTGAGGAAAACCCAATTTCTCAGCATCTGAGTAATTTTCCGATCCCACGAAAATTAATCTTAATCTTAATCCCACGATTAAGAGGTGCAGTCTCTCTAACAGTGCAGCGCCGTGGCAGGCACCAGCTGCCCAGGCTTAGAGCTCAGGTCTCAGGCCGAGGCAGCGGGTGAGACGGAGATGCAGAGGTCTCTGACCAGCACCAGAGGGCCCGAAGGCAGAACGCCCCCCCCCCAGCTGGCCGCTCAAACTGCTGATGGGGACACTCCAGGGCGGTCAGGTCACCCCACACATAGCAGTCTACAGAATCAACGGTGCCACTGCAGAGGCCGCCTGCCCCGCCACCCCGCCTCTCCGTGAGCATGTCGCCCCACCACGGTGGTGCCCCAAGGGCCGGATGGGAATCCCACTAGATGTCAGTGGCACCAAATCAAAGTCGGCTGTGCCCAGGCGGCATCTGCCGGCAGGCGGACGACCACCAGCGAGAGGTGCCGGTCAGACTCATCGTGGTAGCTGGTCCACAAGCTGAAGTCTTAGCAAAAGACACAAATATCACCGAACACAGAAGAAATCAGCACCTGAAGGACTGAGCTCTTCAAACAGGAGCATGGGACTGCACTTACGCTGTTTGAGTAACAGGTGTTTATTTCTATGCAAGAGGAAAACATTTAAAAAAAAAAAAAAAGGACCTGTCTCATGTGCATCAGCAACCCCGGGACTGGGGTCGTTAAAGGCCAGGCCTCTGCCCCCACCTTCCAGCCAGCGGCTCACTTCCGTTTGCTTTTGTGTTTTATGTGAGCAGCCAGAGTAAAGATTCACTTTGATATAAAACAAGCTGGCTCGACTGGGATCAAACTCCCACTTACGCGAAGCTCGTCAACGTCAAGCATTAAGCGCTGCCCAGGCCAAGCCCCGAGCACGACTGTTCCTGACAGAGTTTCTGAATTTCACATTCCCAGTCACCGAGTTAAACACCTTCCGCTGACGCCCGCAAGCTCTCACGCGGCGCGCCCTCTCTGAGCCTGCCTACCTGGACTTCCCTCTTAACCTTAGCTCACCGCAGACTTCTCCCGAAGTGCTGGCCTGCGCTGACCACACCCACACGCATGGCGTTTCTGCGCACCTGGCACCCAGCCCGCAGGCTGCAGGCCATCTGCCTGTGCACCACACAGCCAAGCAGCCGGCTGGACGTTACGGCATCATGACACACAGGACTCATCAGAGGCAAGCACTGAGTATTATGCAGCGACACACAGGTGCGGAGGCTGTATGGCAGGTGACACCCACTACGGGGCAGCCTCGGGCCTATGTGCTCTCCCCAAGGCGAGCACCCCATGTGGGCGCGGTCTGCTTGGGCAAGGCTGGCCCGTCCTTTCAGAGGGAGGCTCTCTCAGGTGGCCTCTCCTGCAATGTGGGTGGGTCAGCTGGCACCACCACGGAGCCCTCGTGCAGCAAATCTACGACCCGAGACATTCACTGGTCTGCTGCCCGTCTGCAATACCGCACTAGTCTGGCTGCGGAGGGCTGGGGGCAGGCACGGTCTGGCACGGGGCAGCTTGGTGCCAGAATGCTCCTGCACGTGTGGCAATGGAGCACCCACACGTAACTAGCCTGAACAGGCCTGCCCAGAGGGTAAGACACAGGCTGGATTTGCACAGCTTCATACAAAGAATGCAGAGCACCCACCTAGTAGCTTTGGAAAATAAGCGTATATTCACAATGGAATATTATTCAGCAACCAAAAAAAAAAAAACCCAAAACACCTCATGCTCTTTGCAACAACATGGATGGGGCTGGAAGGGATCGTGCTGCGTGACATAAGCCAGAAAGAAAAGGAAAAATACCGGATGGTTTCACTCATGGCAGGAATATAACGGACCAGGCGAGAAAATAATAATGAACAGCCATATGCCAGAGACATTTTACGGGGGTGGAGTGGGGGCTGGAATCAAAACAGTGGGGGGAGGGACGTGCACTGGACTGTGGTGACGGCACAGGGTGATCTGGTGATGGGAAGCCCACGGGGATGACAGCTGAGATGGAAAAGGCACAAAATGATGGAAAATGAATTATATTATTTTAAAAAATAAAAATAAGCGTATATTAAAACACTGTTAAATAGATAAAAGTAGTGTGAACCTAAGTTTTACCCAGATTCTTTTTTTCCTTAAACTTTACCACGACTACCAGAACATCAGATTCTGTGTGCCTTCATTGAGTTGCTCTGGCTAGTGCTGGCTCGAGCCTGCCCAGGGCAGGTCACCAGCCCAGTCCTACGCCCTATGACTATTGCAACGCATGGACGTGTCCTGTGGCCACAGCCACAGGAGTGGCCAGGATGCCAAAGAGATCAGACGGGAAAAATGACCTTTTATTCAGAATTGACACTCTCTTCAATTTTGCTATTTCAGAGAACAGCAGCAGTAAACGGAGCCAGGGGGCCAGTCACACTTACTGTTCGCTCTCTTTACAATTATTCACCCACAGTGGGGAAGCGCCTGATTTCTCTTGATTAAAATAACCTTCGGCTGCGTGGACACAGGCCCACCGCGCCCAAGCTTGACAACAGATGCACTCTGAACATGCGGGCATCTACGAAGACCAGTCGCGCAGGCGGGCCACCACCCGTTCCAAAGAGCACACCTCCCCCAAGCTGTCCTCTACTACACGAGACGGCGGCTATCCCCAGGCCTCTCTAGAAGCCAAGGGCAGAGGCAGCACAAAGGAAGGACACGTGCAAGCTGAGGGCCCTTCGCACCGCACTGGCTCTCATCACCTACTTGGCTGCCAAGGGGGAGAACCCAAGAGCTTCTGGCGGGAAAACCGCGCACCCTAACTGAACCAAGTCAGTACCCCCGGGCCGAGACCCCTCCCGCGCAACTCTCAAGCACCCGGCCGCCAGGGCTAGGCAGCTCTACACCCCCGCGCAGGCCCTGCTTGCATCTTACGGGCACGTCTCCGCCGGGCACACCGGTGCTGGGGCTCCAACCTCCGCCACCCACAGGGGCTCCAGGGACGTGCCCACGAAACACTTACCAACCACTCACAGGGGAGACACATCAAAGAGCATCAACATGGAAAAAGAACAGAGTTTAAACATACTTTTCTAGAGTGGCAAGCAGGGGGTCTGGCTCCGTACTGTTCTGAATTTGTAACATCTGGTCTCTGCTCAGGCGCACAATTTCACAAAGTGACTGCGAGGCATTTGAGTGCCGCTAAAGAAAAAAAGTACAAGTTTAACTGCAGCACACATCAGAAATTAAATGTACAATTACAAGCTGGGGAGGAAGCTGCTTGAGAACACAAGTTAAATCTGGCCACAAGCTGCAGTGAGTAAAAGCTGAATGCAAAGGAGACACCGGGGAGGTGGAGTCTTGCCCTGCCAGGCTCCAGAGCTGGCCCGCGGGGCTGCTGGCGGCAGTTAGCTGTGCGGGCAGCCGTGACCCACGACACTCCTTGTTGGACTCTGACTGTAGCCCCAAGTACACACTGCTGCCAGCAAGGAAAGAAACCCGGGGCCTCAGCCTGAGGGACAACCGCCGAGGCCCACCGCCGAGGTGCTCCCCGGGTGCGGCGACTCCCTCGGGGAAAGCTCTGGGCCACAGGCCCGGTGTCTCCTGGGCCACGGGCACTGAGTGGCCCATCCGGGACGAACACACAAGGATGTTGCAGCCTGACAACTGCACCCAAGACTCTGGAAGCCTGCGGGCTGGGGCAGGGCCACGCGCATCCTCATGTGGGGTTGTCTCTCTTGCGTCAGCACGTAACGCAGGACAGCACCAAAGGGCCCGACACCAGGGCGGGCGCTGGTGCCCCAAAGCTTTGTCTTCAGCAGAACACGCTGCAGGGGCCGACACAGGCCGCTCCAGCGCTTTCTCCTACTGCGGGCGACTGCCCGTGTGCAGGCAGACCAGGCTCCAGACACCGTTCTCCCAGCCCCGCAGCCCTGGCCGGGGCGCCAGAAATGTGCTGGGGCTTCTTCCCAACCCGGCCGGAAGGCTCCTTCTGAGCGGGGTCCCTATGCCCCGGCGCAGGGCTGGCAGCGCGCAGCCCATCGTAGCCTGGCTCTCAGCAGTGGCAGCCAACGCGGGGCATGAAGACCCTGTCGCTAGGGGAATGAAGGGCTATCAACGGGCCCTTCAGCACCTAGCAAGTAAACTGAAGCCAGGTGCCAAAGCCTCTGAATGGACCAAAGCAGGAGACAGACGTGCCCCCTTAGAAAATGTGCTCTATCGTCCTGCGCGCTGGTGCTCCACTGCCCAGAGGCACAGAGGCGGCGCCCAGGTCACGTGACACCCTCCGCCATTCCCTGAAGCCAGCCCCCCGCCTAAGTGCAATGCTGCGGGCCCCAGCAGCAGCGGCTGGACGGGCTTCTGCAGGCAGCAGCTGGAGAAGCGGAGAGACAGTGTCACTCTGGCCCCCGCCCAATCCTGGCCGCCCAGCGGGCACCCCTCCCAGAGTTCAACCTGCAAGCTCCAAAGCAGCTTCACCCCAACAGCCATTAGTGCACCCGCCAGAGCACAAGTGCTCGGCCGGAAGCACAGCCGCCAGGAGCCCAGCCCCGCAGACAGGGCGGCAGGGACCCAGGCCCGCCGTGCCACCCAACGGGAAACGCGCCTGTGTGGTCTCGCCGCTGGGCTAAAGATGGGTCTAGAAGAAAAAGAAGTGTGCACGGAGGAGGTTTCTAACAAAGGGAGGCGATGCAGCAGGAAACCCCAGGGCTAGAGCCAGGGTCTGCAGTTCCACATTCTGGGAACTTTCAGGCCCCAGCAAAATGTAGTGCTCGCTTCAGCCCCCGGTGTTTAGAAAACTTTTGACGCCGAGAACATGGCCCGCTTGCTCGCGTCTGCGTGGCTATGGCCTTGCTCAACCAGTTGTTTTCTTTAAATCAAGTTTACAGTCACACAGAGAACTTACATCTTCTTCTTGTGATGGATGAACTATCTCCACAAGCCTCTGGATGATTTTCTCCTCATTTAACCACTGTAAGACAATAGAGAGGGGGTCATCGCTGAGCGGCTCCTGTCCAGCCCAGTGCAGTGCAAGTAAGTGGATGACTATGGGTTCCTGCACTCTGACCACTAGCCCCCAAGAATGAGGCAACAAATACATCTGCCCAGCAGTACCCAGCATCCCCACCCACTCCCAAATGGCCACGCCTGCATGGAAAGCCCTCTCAGTTTAGTCTATACTGGCTATTAAGGGAGTGAAAGTAGGGTGGGATTTATGCATTTTCTGTCAGAGAGCTTCAGAAAGATGGGAGAGAAAAGCAATATTTAATATTGCATGTGCTAAAAAAAAACATGATAAACTTTTAGATCCTAAAACTGAAGCCACCCAGGGCCCACGTGCCTGGCCCACTTGGGCAGGGGCTATCCCCACGACAGGACTGGCACTCCTTTATCTCGCAGGCAGCAAGGCTGTGGACACTGCAGGGGTGAGGGTCAGTGAACGCAACACAGCCCCCCTGGGGCAGATGCCATCATAACAGGGCACTTACCTCCCCCCAACCCCAAAAATCCCAAAGACATGTGGACACTAGGGTGGGGTGGGGTGGGGCGGGGCGGGGCGTGGAGGGCGTGGAAATCCAGCAGTTTGCTAAATCATGCACAGAGAGAAGCCCTAATGCCTTCTCCTGGCCCTCAGCAAGTCAGCTTGTCAAAGACAAGGGCCACTGCAGCGAGGATGGACCGGGTCGCTCTGCACCCGGCGAGACTGACTGAGCGGGGCAGGGCTGGGGCTCGTGACACCTAGCACCACACTTGGAGTAGCGATGGCCTCATGCAGCAGTGGGAATCCCTGAGGTGGAGGCAGGGAGGCAGGAAAGGCACTGCTGAATCCTGTCTCCTCCACAGCTACTGAGAAGCCACTTTCCAAATTCGCTCTGGCAAAATGCTCCCGCGGTGGGCCCTGAGGTCAAAGGGAGACACGCAGGCGGACCTGCCTTCCCTGGGGTCTGTGCAACCATATCCCTCCAGACACAGCTATCCAGACGCTCAGAAACAGGCCTAATATTCAGCTTGGAAAGTATTTAGCCACAGGGGGCTAAATACTTGCCTCTGTGAAGGTGCCTACTCCCCACCCCCACTAATCTGAACCCCTGCTGTGAAAAGAATCACACCCACAAAAACCACCCCATGGGCCGGTGTCCTATTAGGCCCTTCTCACAGGCGCCCAGAAGGTCACTGGGCACCCAGCAGGCCTCCTGGCACGCCTGCCTTGCGGCCCCTCAGGTGTCTTTTATTAAAGGGGCTGTTTCCCACAAAACTCATTTCTAGAGAAATGAGCAAATTCAGACAGGGGTGACTATGAAGGCGGAACACCTGGGCAGGTGCTTCTGGAGGAAGGCGGCACAGGAACCGGAGAAGGGAAGACAGAGGACAAGGCGTCGAGGTGAGAGGCCGCCCCTTCAGGTCCTGGGCTCCCTGCCCACGCCCCACCTTCCACCCCAGGCCGCTCTCCCAGAGGCACACGCTCCTGAAACAGCCAGGCCTCGGGGCTTTAAACCCATCCCTCTGGGCAGTAAACTTCAGTCTCCTGATACCTTTGCAAATCTTGTGAGAACAATCCCTGCCTCCCCACAAAGCACCTCAGAGCACAGCTAGACCTCTGCCTCCTGTCTCCTGCTCTCCGCCAGCCAGCGGACATCGAGAGAGCCTCACCCCGCTCTATCGCCCTGCTCCCACAGAAAAGCAGCCACAGGGCCAAGAGCCCTTTAGGGTGCCACCCCGTGAACAGAGAGGCAGCGCCGCACCCGCGGAGCCTCTCCCTGTGCTGGAGCCACTGTGGGTCTCCCCCCCGACCCCCAACAGGTCTACTCACATTCAGCACGTCTTGCCTGGGCTGGGGCGGCTCGATGCACGTCAGGAGCCTGAGCAGCAAGTCCATGATGGCCGAGGTTCCTATGTGCTTTATGACGAGGTCTACGAAGTCACGCTGCTTCTTCAGGAAATCCACAATCTGCAGGACAAGCCCAAGCCGAGACATGACCCGGAACTGAAGCCTTGCGAGTGCCCACAGCCCCAACTCAGACCCACCACTTACGCCAAGGAACAGCAAATGCAGAGTGTGTGTCAAGGCGCCATGTGGGAGGCGGGTTAGTTGGGTCCACGTTCAAACCCCCCAGAAACTCCCCAAAACACACACTAACCACTTATTTTCTGCCCACTTTCATTACTTATACTCAAAGAATGAGTGTTAAAATTTTAAAACACTTGTTAAACAACGCCATCAAAAAATGGGCAGAAGAGCTAAAAAGACACTTCTCCAAAGAGGAAATGCAGATGGCCAACAAACATGAAAAAATGTTCAACATCATTCGTCATAAGGGAGATGCAAATTAAAACCACAATGAGATACCACCTCAACCCAGTGAGAATGGCACATCTTCAAACAACTAGCAACAACAAATGTTGGCGAGGATGTGGAGAAAAAGGAACTCTCCTGCACTGCTGGTGGGAATGCAAACCAGTACAACCACTATGGAAAACTGTTTGGAGGTTCCTCAAACTGCTACACATGGAGCTTCCCTATGACCCAGCAATCCCACTCCTAGGTATCTACCCAAAAGACACAAAAACACTGATTGAAAAAGATACCTGCACCCCCATGTTTATCGCTACTTTATTCACAATTGGAAAGACATGGAAACAGCCCAAATGCCCAAAAGTAGATGACTGGATTAAAAAGATGTGGTACAGGCCCTTCCTGGTGGCGCAGCGGGTTAAAGCACAGCACTAAGAAGCCTAAGCCACTTCCGCATGAGTTCGATGCCCGCCTGCCCCGAGGAGATCCACATGGTGTGGCAGACCTTTCCTGACCCGCCCGCTGCCCCCTCAGCAGTGTACTTCGTCGATCTGCCTGTTCTGCTCCCCACTCTGTCCCTGGTGAATCCTCTCACCCTCAGCATCTCTGGTCTGTATCCCAGTTCTGTATGAATAAATAAATAAATCTTTAAAAAAAAAAAAAAGATGTGGTACATCTATATACAATGGAATATTACTCAGCAACCAAAAAAGAGAAATACATGTCTTTTGCAGCAACTTGGATGGAGCTTGAAAAGATCATGCTTAGTGAGATAAGCCAGAAAGAGAAAAGAAAAATACCAGATGGTTTCACTCATAGCAGGAGTAATGGACCAGGCGAGAAAATAACAAAAATAATGAACAACCATATACCAGAGACATTTTGCGGGGGTGGAGTGGGGAACGGGATCAAAAAGGGGGGGGTGGGGAGGGAAGTGCATGGGATTATGGTGATGGCACACGGGTGACTCGGTGAAAATGGAAAAAAAATGTACAATTTTTTAAAAGAAAAAAAATGTACAAAATGATGTAAAAATAAACTGTTATAAAATAAAAAAAAATTTTTAAAAACACTTGTAAATACCAGAATACACCAAGAACTTGTGGATACAAAGCTAGCCCATGCCCTCTCTGGGGGAGCAACAGGTCAGGACGCAGCACTGAAGCTGCAACCCCCTCACTGCCAATTTGATCCCCGCCCCGGAGGTGACCACAGGGCGCAACAGACCTCTCCTGTCTCCCCGCTGCTCCCCTCAGTGGTGTACTTTATTGATCTGCCTGTTCTGCTCCCCACTCTCTCTCTGGTGAATGCTCTCACGACGCCTGTACCCCAGTTCTTCAAAACGAACAAACTGGCCCATGAAGCCGCACTGAAAAGCAGGGTGCTCAGGCTGGCCCACGCTCGCATGCCAAGAGCAAGGGGGCGTGGCCTGCCACCCGGGGCTCGCGTGCTCCAGACCCTGTGGGCCTGCCAGTGTGGCAGGGGCGCCGATGGGTGCACTGAAGGCTCTCGAAGCCCACGGCGTTCTGGACAAGGAAACCTCGGCTCAGACACGAAGCATCTTGCTAAATGCTAGCAAGTGGCTGCTTGCCTTTTAAGCCCTGATACATGGCTCCAGGCCTCCCTGCCCCACAGGCAGAGATCACGGGCACTTGTGCACGGTGGGTCTGACCACTGCTTCCCAGATGGGGGAGTGACCCCCACAACCGCTCCCTGCTCAGCCACAGGCTCTGCACACACCCATGACAAGGAGCAAAACCCATCATGACTCAGGGGCCAAAACACCAGCACTAATAGCGCTCTAAGGCCCAGGTCACTGCCCGTGTGGGGGCAGCAGCCTTCCCCCCACCCAGTGGGCTTAGTTCGCTCTCCTCCCGGGCCTTAACGTGGGCCTGTTCCATGGCGAACTCTGCCTGCTTCAAACCCTTCGGCCTCTGCCTTCCTAGACCTCTGTTC